CAAAAAAATAAAAGATTGTGAAAAGGGGACATGATGCAAATGAAACTGGGGGATTTTGAAAGTATTGAGTTAAGCTGAAAAAACCAAGGTTTCACCCCAGAATAAAACATGTTTATTCAACTTTTCAACTGCAAATGTAGTTAAATTATTCAGCTCTGCCCTGTATGTGGTATCTGGGCTTTGAAAAACCTCTGTCCCCCCGGTGAGTTAATGACTACAGCGAGAGCGCGCGCACACACACACACACACACCAACACTAACACACACTATGCCTCCTGTGTGTGCCGCTTTGGTAATGACCGCCTTTAGCCCTGTTACTGATCTCATATGCATGTCTGATTTACATATTTTCCCAGCGCCCCTCTGAGCATGGTGACTGTGTGACCTTTTGATGTTCTGCGGCGGGTGAAACACACACACAGATGCTGGCGGACACACGCTCATACATTAGCTATCATAAGATGTGCTAAGAAGCGAAGGACAAGTATTAAATCTAGTCTCTGTGATCGCTCGACCAATATACTTTTCATTTACACCGAGTCTACACGGGCAGCGCCTCGCCCGACAGCAGCCTGAGCCCATTAACACAACTGGTTTTTCCCTCCCTCCCTCCATCGTCAAGGTTACGGTTACGGTCAAAATAACACCAGTGCAAGGACAAGAGCGTGATTATGTGGAGGCCTGGTTAGACTCTGGTGAGGCATTATCATGTACGCTGGGCCATTAGGAGCAAAATGTCTCGGCATTCAAAAGGTGTCAGTCAAGGCGAGTCACTCAAGTGTCAAGAGAGTGCAGCATCCACTGTGAAGGACCGAACAGGCGTGTTATACACACACACACACACACACACACTAAAATACACACATGCTCGTTGTACAATACCTGGGATGAAATACTGTTCTCTAGCTAATGGAGAGACAGAGAGAGTGAGAGTGAAAAAAACAACTCAAGAAACAAAGATTCGACCTGGAGAAATTACTTACTGTCTACGAGTGTGTGTGTGTGTGTGTGTGTGTGTGTGTGTGTGTGTGTCTGAGTCAGAGAGAGAGAGCATGTTTTTGTGTGTGTGAGAGAGATGCCAGAAAAAGCTAAAAAAAACAGGGAGTCGAGGTTAGTAAAGAGAGTCTGAGGGAAAATCCCAGCAGGAAAACACAGAATGAGAAAACAGGACAGCAAGGTTTAAAAAAAAAAAAAGATATTCTGAATACTCGTGCAAAATAAAAAACTCAGTCTTTCAGTGTTTCTACGGTGCGGCGTGTTGTTGTTTTTACCTGAGCAGCGGAACTTCTTGCTCTTGATTTGTCCGATGCGTTTGTTGGCGAGCCGCCGCGGGCTGGTGCAGCGGGCGCCGCTCGTCTCGATGGGATTGTCCTGCAGGTAGTCGGCCAGCCACTTCAGGTGACAGTCACAGATAAACGGGTTCTGGGCTAAGTGGCTGAGATGCACACACACACACAAACACACAGATAGACATGGACACACAGAAACACACGTGAGTTGTCAGAACAAAATGTGACCGCAGACGGACAGTAGCAGGTGTTTCTATCCATCTTAAACTACAGTATGTCTGGAGATTAGAGAAATATCTTAATACTTGAAGGCATCGGGACTACGTTCTGTTAGCATCCTTGTTGGCAGTGCCTACTCAAAGGCGTATAGCTTCAAAACATGACTGGTTTTCATTAACTTTATACATCAATCTATACTGATTAGAGCGCTCAAGAACTGCCCTCAATGTTGTGCTTTGCCTCTGGTCACTTCCTGTCAGCACCTGTGTGTCCAATCAGACTCAAAGCTGATCGTTTGCTCTTACTGACATTGTTCCCTTTTTTCTAGATCCTTGCTTGTGTTGTTCTTACTCTCTGATGTACGTCGCTTTGGATAAAAACTGCTAAGTGAATTGTAGAATTGTAGAATCAAATAAGCGAGGAGTCAGGGATCTGTGATGTTAGCAGAATGTCATCAGCATATACAAAAGTTAAAGAGACGGATCGTCGACATGTACATCCTGGAACTCATCAAATCTGACAGGTTAACTGTTCTAAAGAAAGGATAAACTGCAGACGTGATAAGGGAAAAACTCTTTCGCTATTGGGTTACTGTACGGCAAATATATTTATAAGAAGAAGAAGAAGAAATAAGATATCCTTTATTAATCCGACAAGGGGAAATTACTTTGAAACTCTGCTATCGAGACATGCTACAAAAGCTGAAATACAGGATCCTATGGACATGCACTGATGATGTCAGAGAGAGTGTCTACCAGGAAAGAGCGACGAGCATTTTATAGTTCGGTGCCCTGCTCAAGAGCTCCTCCGCAGTGTTCAGGGAAGAGAAGTGGCACCTCTACAGCTACTCGGCCAATATCCAGACTAACCGGCGACCCTCGAGTTGAGCTACTGCGGCGCAAAGTAGTGGCTAAACTGAGTGCAAATACTCCATGAGGTCTCAATAAGTATTTAAAAATGTTGCAGTCGAATGCTTTCTCTTAAAAAAAAATGAAAAGTGCATAAACGAGAACTGTTCATCTGTGTCATTCGAGTGATTTTCTTTGGATGAGAACAACATTTTCTTTCTGCAGTCGGTCTGCAATAAATGATTATCAGCTACTGCTCATTGTTTGGCTGCTTCCACTTCTCCAATATAAACCTGGTCTGGTCAGTGTGTTCAATGAGCTGCATATATGTGTGTGTGTGTGTGTATGTGTGTGTGTGTGTGTCCGTACAGTGTTTGTATGGCTCTCAGCGACGAGAAGGTCCCCTTGGCGATGGTCTGCAGCTTGTTGTCATACAGCGAGAGCAGATTGAGGTTGTGGAGGTCCTGAAACGCGTCCACACGGAGACACGCTATCTTATTAGCATTGAGCAGCCTGAGAGGAAAGAAAAAAAAACGACAAGAGGGAGACAGAGAGCGGTGAGAGAGAGAGAGAGAGAGAGAGAGAGAGAGAATGGGGGATGAAGGTGTGTATCCTGTTATCATTCTTGAGTGAGTTTTTCAAATGTTACAGGTCACTGATGATGGCTTTCAATCATGATGGCTCCAGTCTGATGACAACGCTTTAGGTAAGCACTTTTCAGCAGAATATCAATGAGGGACGGGTGTGAGCGCCTCGCTGCAGCTACAACCATGTCTGTGTGTGTGTGTGTGTGTGTGTGTGTGTGTGTGTGTGTGTGTGTGTGTGTGTGTGTGTGTGTGTGTGTGTGTGTGTGTGTGTGTCTACTTACAATAGCTGCAGAGAAAAGAGTCCCTCAAGCAGCCCTTTGGAAATTTCTGTGATTTTGTTCCCGTAAAGAACCCTGTGGAGCACAAACATTACCTTAATACGTTTTGAATAAAACCACATACGTGGGCGGCTGTGGCTCAGTGGGTAAAGTCGGTCATCTCTCAACCAGAAGGTCAGGGGTTTGATCCCCACCTCCTGCAGCAACATGTCCGATGTGTCTTTGGGCAAGACGCTTAACCCCAAGTTGATACTACTGCTTTGTCAGAATGTGTATGAATGGGATTACTTCTGATGATCAAAAAGAGCTTTGAGTAATCAGAAGACCAGAAAAGCGCTGTACAAGCTAAAGACCATTTACTATTAACATATATTATCAAGTTACAGTACTAATATCACTAATATGTTTTTTGGTGTGCAATGAAAAGCAGATTTCTTCGCATTTTCAGAAACTTTTCTCAGACATTTTGCTAGAATTCAACGCTGACATTCAACGTGACAGAGTGGCAGCGAATGCTCTGTTCATGTCACATTGTGACAGACCCTAATGAGACACAGCCTGAGGGAATAATTGTTGTTATGAAGAGTCAGAGGTGAGGAATGTCTGACATGCACATTATCCACTTAAATAGATCTGTGGGAAAAAAAAAGAAGTGCTGCAACTCCTCCATCACCAGTAACACATTTATTGGAATTTCTATTTTTAACACGGATAAAATGATTGTTCTAGTTTCACAAAATGTTTGCTCAAAATGATCGAGCTTCAATAAGGAACACAATTTAGAAGAATCCAAGTTTGGGGTCCTTTCCTTTCACATCGGATGGATATAAAGGACTGCTGCTATTTATTCAGTATTTGTGAAGAGCTCCAGCTGTCAGCCTGTCGTTAGGTTGACTTAAATTTAAGGTGAGACAGTATTTCCAGCATGGCGATCGCCCCCTGCAGTGACATCACACAGACCTCATACATTAATATTTACAGTCTAAAGCAGTGCTTCCCAAAGTGTGGGCCCCCTGGTGGGCTGTGTGGGTACTGCAGGTGGGCCGCGAAAAAGCCCTTCACCAAGTATAAAAATATAATAAATATCACAATAATGATGATTTACCAGGAGTCAACCCTTTAGGTGATTAGTAAAGTCTGTCATGACTATTCATGGACATAATATCACATAATATTTTACTACCTGTTAAGTAAACGTTTGTGTCTCTCTTGCCGAGAGACATATTGTCATGTCCAATATTTTACCCTTACTGAAAGTGAGAGTTGTTAGTCATACCTTTTATTTTATAACGGGCCCCGGAGTAATTTTGTATTTCAAAGTGGGCCGCAGCAGTCTTCAGTTTGTTATGTTTCTTTGGTTGTTTGTTTTTCATCTTGTCTCTCTTTTTTGTTGAGATTATCTGATTTGTCTGGCTCGAGTGAAATGGTTGTGGAATTTCAACTTCATTTGTTGTTGCTTTAAATAAATAAAATCTGGAGACTGAGACAGAAACACATCAGCAGGCTGTGGAGAAATACTCTGTGTCATAAATACGACTTTAATAACGTAACAGCTGTCTAAATGTAAATGTGTTCCTCTCCCTTTTCTTTAACAATGTCAGTTTCAAACGCAAATAAAACCAAACAGTAAAAACTATCATCTGTGCTAGCTGTATATAATAACTATGTACATTGAGTATAAGTTGTTATGAAACACTCTCCATCTAAATGTCACAGACACATACATAAATCTGTCTGCAGTTACAGCAAGCTATGAGTGCTGTTATCAAAGAAACGCTTTTTTAATAAATATATCAGATTACCTACACAAAGAGAAACAGGTCAAGGCTGAGACTGCCACTGGTTTGCATGAAATACCTTAGATACACACCAATCCCCCGACACACACACACACACACACACACAGCCGGCGAGTTATCAGTCATCTTAACGCTACACGGCGAGCTGAGTTGTGTATGTAGGCAGTTTAAAGACATGTGTTTTAGATTGGCTTTTATTTCATTGTGCTGAGTGGCTGTCCCAGTGAGACCTGAGGTTGGGAAATACACGGCGCGGGGAGTGAACGCTTCATTTATGTCTCACGCGCATTAGCACGTACTGTTTCACACACACACACCCAAATGTAGACGTACACACACACACACACACACACAGACAAAATCAATGGCTCATTTACATCCTCTTTAACTAAACCCTGACACACAATGAACACACAGCGCAGCCTAATGTGAAAGCCATACTGTATGTGGTGTGTCAGCATGAATGTGTGTGTGTCCCATTCTCTCTGCGGTGAATGTGTAATGAGGTGGCAGAAGCCTCCATTCAGCAATTCAGCGTTTATGAATTATTGACTTTGGAGAGACGAGACCTTAATATAACTCCTTCATGAAATAACTCCACATCCGTCACCTCCCTCTCCTGCTCCTCTCCGCGGCTTCCTTTAGCAAAGCTTAACACGCAACGCAGATGGTGCGACCTGAGACTCAGCCAGCCAAAGTGCGAAAATGAATTTTTGTTTTGTTGGATTGGCTTTCTGAACTTTGAGGCCACAGTAAGGACATTGTAGTTGTTGTCCCTTCGTTTTGGCTGAAATCGTGTGACAGGAAATCCTTATAATTTAAAGAATCAGTAATTGACACTTTGCTAAATGCTAACAGACGCTAATGTTAGCTCGTACTCTGTCAGTCTAGAACCTAACTCTTTTCAAATAGCCTACAACCTCACTGTAACCCAATTATGAAGTTAGCTCATAATGCTAAAGTATGAAATCAACACTAGCGTTACAACTATAACAAAATACCTAGCTAGGTTGCTAATATCTTGACTTTTGGTACTACCTACTTCCGATAAAGGACGGCAAAATTATTATTTAATCATAACTGTTCAAACATACACTCTGCTTTGCTAAAGCGAATAAAAGCAGGGATGTTAATGCTAGCAGAAGTCAAAACTCTGATTAAAAGGTGTTAGCATTAAGTTATCGTGGCTACAAGTATGGTACGGTACAGCTATGCTAGAATTAGCTTACACTACCTACTAAGAGGGCTTAATTCAGAGAGGCTAATGTTAATGTTAGCCAAAACTCTAATAGAGTGGTCAAACCTTAATGCTAAGTAAGAAACAATGCTAAGCTACAACTACAACTGAATACTCAACAAGGTATGCTAATGTTTTTTAGTGTATGCAAGTATGAAGCTACAGTTGTTATAAGCTAATTGGTGGACTGCGTTGTTTGTTGAATGGGTTAAAAGTTTGCTTTTGTGTGCAGTTTTGTCATATTTAATTCTGCTGTCAAATTGGACATTTTAACATGAGTGTTAATGGGACTTCCTGGGCTTTTGGAGCCAGCCTCAAGTGGACGATAGAGGAACTGCAGGTTTTTTTTTTTTTTTTTTTGCATCAAAAGCTGCAGCTTGGATGTAGCATGTTCCTCACAGGTTTTTAATCACAGTTGTTTACTTTAAAGTGTTATGTTAAATAAAAACATTTCACAGAGTACTCACAGGGAGTTGAGGGAGCGCAGACCTTGGAAGGCGTCTGAGGCTAACTCTGATATCTGGTTGTTGCTCAAGTCTCTGTGGATGAAAAAAGTGAAACATGGAGGTCAAAACAGGCCACAAACGGATCAGAAACAGGAGTTTTTCTTCTGCGGTTAAAAAGGGTGTAAAATACACATATCTACTCATCTACTCACATTCTGCGCAGCTTCTTATAAGGAGAAAAGGCTCCAGCTGGGATCACCTTGATGGCGTTCTGCTCCAGTCGTCTGGAACCAAACATACACACAGACCATTGAGAGGCAACATTAACATTCCCGTATCACAGAGATATCTGTGCTGTACCGTCGCCTGCCGCTCATTCCTCAGGGCTCTGGAGGAAGGGGAACATTTCCAGATAAGTCTCTTTGATGAGCGTGCCAGAGTTTGTCACATTTCTCTGATCCTTCGCCCTCTTGAACATGTGTACAGTCAGACGCAGACACAAACACACACACACACACACACACACACACACACACACACACACACACTATCTGGGCAGTGTTCCATTAAGTGCCAGTCTGACTCGGTGTCAGTCAGGCCCAAACAAATCAAGAGAGTGAAAGAGGGTAGGAGGGGGGGCAAACAAAAGAGAGAACAGACCCAAACAACCGGGTCTTTTAACATTTCACATGTTCAGTCGGCATGACAAGAAAAGGCGCTGGAACATGATTTGCAAACCAACCATTTGATTGTGAAACATTTCCCCTCTAAAAAAAAAATGTTTTTCATTTGCTGCTCTCTTTTCAGCTCTATTCTAATCTTTTATTATTTTTTTCAGAACCATCATGTTCGACTGGTCACACAGGAGCATTGTAGTGATTGTAGGGGTTCTGTTTTTTTATGTTTTTTTTTAAGGCCAAGTCAACAGAACATCTTGAGTCAAGTCAAATAATTACAAGGGAATGAAGTCGAGTGTGTCAAGGCAGGACTCCAGTTAAATCTGAAATCAATTGTGACAAGTTCTATTAAAGTCCATAAGTGTTATGTCTATAGTTATCGTACACTAGCTCAAGTCAAGTCTTAAAAATCAAGAGTCCTCAGTGCAGTTCAAAGACGACAAAGCGCATCCCAAATTTAAAACAAAAGTCGATTCCAAATCAGATCCCAAGTCTTATTAAATCAAGCCTCAAGTCAAGTCTTCATTCCTGTACCATAAGTAGTTCCCACTCATTTGCAATTCTCGTCCCTCGATGGACAGCAACAAATACACTAGAAACAGTTCTAAACAAGCTGTGTAGAAACTGATGAAGTGGTCTTCTCGAATACAGATATATATCAAATATTAAATACAAAGAAGCCAACATGAGATAACTTGAAGACAAATCTCAATTTACTTTTTAAAATTTTCCTTCATACTAAATCTTTCTGCAGAGGGAAGCTTATTGGATCCATTCTTTGGTACCTTCTTCCCGATGGTTTGAATGAGGAGAGTTCATTCTTCTGTTTCCTGTGAACTGATCGTTGTCGGCTGTATTTCTGTACTTTTGTTTCTGTTGTCTCTACGTTGGATCTGGTCTCTGAGGTGAAACAGTTTGTTGATGCTGCTTGTTTACTACCTCTTTGTTTGAAGGTGTGTGGTGAAGTGGAGACCTGCTGGATTGACTAGACTTGTGAACTTCTGTTGCACCCTGAAGAAGAGCGTCTGCTCACGTCCGTGAATTATGAGTACAATTTGGAGTGCTGTCCTTAACATTTTTCTGGTATTCAATTCCTAAGCCAATCAAATTCCCCCACTCGGCCAATCAAGAGCAAATTGAGTCGCCAAGGTTTTAACGGTTCTAAAGGATTATTGATTTCAGGACAATTCTTGAAAATGAGACGCTGCACCTCAGAGGGCTATCCTTTAAAAAAAATGTTGCAGAAATTTTAAACTTTAGGGTCAACGTTCTTTTAATTGTACTCTTTGATTTTCATGGCTTTAAAAAAAACAAAAAAAAACAAGAGAATCTAGAATAGAATATTTTGTCTCAAGCTAAGTCTCAGACTAGTCCAAGTCCAAGTGTAACTCAGTTTTTGCACTTTACATCTGCTGACTCTAATCATTCCTCTCCTCTTCCCTCCTCTTTAGATTAAGATGTGATCGGTCTTGTCCTTCAGATTAATCTTTCAATTCTCACTCCCTCATCCCTTCATTATTTTCTTAAGCAGGCAAGAGCTGCATGACCAGGCTTTCCCATTTCACAGATGTGTGGTTTTATTTCAGTGCACAGAGAGAAGAGAGAACAAGTGGAACAGAAAATGTGGAAAGAGACAAAGAAAGGAGAGGCACAGTGAAAGAGCAGGAGAAATTCACTGCACTCCGAGTGTGGATACAGGAGTTTGTGTGCTAAAGTGCATGTATATGCATAGAGGGTTGTGCGTGTGTGCGTGTGTGGTGCCTTACATCTCGGTAATGGTTTCAGGCAGGTTGGTGGGGATTTCTGTCAGTCCTTTCCCTCTGCAGTCGACGATGTTGTTATCTGCAGGTGACGACTCTGGGCACTGTAGCACGCTGCAGGAGGAGGAGGATGACGACTGGTGACCTACACCGAGACAGAGGGCCGATATTAGTCATGATAATAGGTGCGCTTGGTGTAAATTCAAAAAGTAACGGGCATTAAACCTGACAGAATCCAGTGAAGAAAATCAAGCATGTAACAGCAGCAAAGGCAAGCAGGGAACAGGTGAGAGGAGGGGAGATCTGTTCCTAAGAGTGACCTTTCTATCTGCTGTAATTCTTTGGTTTAATCGTGCACAGCTCATGCAAAAAAATAAATGTGAGAAAATCACACATTGGAAGATGGAAACTTGCCTTCATCCTCATCTTGAAAAAGCATGAGACAGCGAGAAAGAGCAAACGAGACAAAGCGAGTAAATAGATTTGCGACGGTAGAAGAGCAAGCGGTCGTGACTCACTGATCAGTATACGACATCTGGACTCACCTGTGCAGGCAAACTCCTTCTTCTGCACCTCGGCCACATTGTGCCCCCTCAGGTGCGGCGGGGCCATGCACTGCGTGTAGAGACCCAGACGGGGGCGTTGTCGCAGCCACTCTGACAGCCAGGCCACGTGGCAGTCACACTGCAGGTTGTTGGAGTGCAGGCGACTGGGGAGGGGAGGGAGGGAGGAGGGGGCGATCACAGGAAGGAGGGACAGACGAGCGGTCAGAGGTGGAAGTACAGATCGATCAGTCAATTATACAAACAGAAGAGGATGAGAGGAAGCTTTTCCCCCCGGGGTGATAATGTGCAGCAAATGTTGGCGGCGCCACTTACAAGGTCCTGAGCTTCGGCATGTGGTTGAAACTGGCCACAGACAGGCGGCTGATGTTGTTGTTGTTGAGGGTGCTGAGGAGAGAAAAGAGCAGAGTATAGATTAAGTGGACTTTCTACAGACACAGAAAGAGATAAGTCAGCCAAGAAGGGTTTTAAAATCAGACTCAAGTACCCACTGTCATTTTAAACTCTGCTGAGAGGTCAAAGTTCACAACAATTACCGTCTTTAAATTATCTTTTTCCTGTACAAATTCAAGATACATCTGTCACTTTCACAATATATCCTACAAACTAGCTCTCTTATTACCTATGGAAGAGAGAGACATGCATCCATATAATTTATTCAAGCTGTTTTAATGTCATGAGTTATATCAGGTTGTCGTCTTGAGATCTCGACCTTTAGGTCACAATTCACAGGAGTTGAAAAAGCAAAAACCACAACATAAAAATAGGTTTAGGTCAGCTCATTAGTTTGGACTGACATGCAGCATGGCATGTCGTGGTCCGGCCTGTCACAGGGACCGACCTCTTGTTTTGTTTTCTCATGATCGCCTACAAAAATATCCAGGAGAGGAACAGCTTCTGAGATAACAAGACAAATAAGACCTGATCTCGAGAAAACGCCTGAAATTAACTCATCAAAAGAAAAACAAGCTTCATTTTTCTGATTTAAAATCTATCCAAAATGATGAAAAAGCTCCTTTATTATCAAGAAATACTAAATAATAATGAGTCCGATCTCATGAAACACCTGAAATTTTACTTCATAAATTATCGAAAAAAACAAGATTAATTTTCCTTGAGCTAATGACAGACATTAAATGAGTTATAATGGGAATATCTGCTATGTTATCCTGATATAGCAGAAAAAAATAAGTCCCAATCTCGAGAGACAGCTTAAACATTCTTATTATCATGAGATAACTAGCTTTAATCTCAAGATAATGATGTACATTTTATCAGGCTAATGGAAAACCAGTTTTTGTTATCCTGTGATAAAAGGAGTAAAACGTTCCAAGCTCGAGAAAACCTGAACTAGTTATCATAAGAAAACCTGTTTGTTTCCTCATGATAACGACCAACATGATGAGTTATAACGGGAAAAGCTCCGCTATCCAGAGATAAGAGGTTAAAAATAAAGTCCAGTCGTCTCTTCTGGAGAGAATGAAATACATTTACTGGTTTTAATGGAAAAACTGCTTTGTTAACCCAATATGACGGCAAAAATAAGTCCCAATCTCAAGAAAGAACATGAAATGATATGACAAGAAAAGCGCTTTTTGAACCGAGATAACAGGACAGATAAATCCTGATCTTAAGAAATCCTGAAATTAACTTATGACAAGAAAACCATCTTTGTTGTCTCAAGATAACGAAAAATAACCTGCGATATCTTGAGCAGCAAACCAAATGTTTTGTCATAACAGGAAAAAATTAAATGTCTGGCTGCATGACCACTTGAGGCTTCCGTACTCGTCTGCTGTCTAGTATGATCTCTGCTTTCAGTGCTTCTGCACAAACACAGAAAAGTAACGTCCTCATCACAACTTTAATTAATCGCTGCAGACAACATATGACGTCTTAGTCGGTAAATAAATGACACCGAAAACAATCACAGTGTTGTTTCATTCATCAAACTAAAAACGCATTTCAGCAAAAACACATAATTCATGAACAATTATATCAAATATAGTGCAGGCTGGAGACAGAAATATGTAAATTGGGGAATTGTTCAAACATTGTAAATGATCTGCAGTTTTAATATGATTCTGTTTATGGTATTTATGGGTGTGCATTTCCTTGCTAGAGCTTAAAATATGATTATGAACCAGTGCATACATCAACAATCTTCTCATAATTCTGCATCTGTGAAGTCTTAAGATAGTGACACTATCTTTAAAAGCCTTAAGTGTCATTCCTGAATGTATATATATGAAACTGTCCTTTACATATAAAACAGGGAATGCAGTCTTTTAAAGGTCAAGGAGGATAATAGCGGCTCCACATCGCACTGCTGCTGTTAGTGTTCATCGTTCACACAAAGCTCTGCTGCTGGACAAACAGGTACTCACAGCACTTCCAGGTCACGTAGCGCTCGGAAAGCTCCATCTTCAATGCAGCTGATGTGGTTGTAGTCTAACTGGCTGCAGAAACAAACACAAGAATGAAAATGAAAAGAATAGCAGGGTGTGAAGTGTCTCAGGGTGAATCTTCAGGTGAAAATCAAACTAAAAAGCCAACTAAAAAAAGCCCCCCCCTTCCTCTCCCCCTCCCCCTCGCCCCTAGAAAACTCATCAACGACCTCGCTCTGTCTCTTCTGCTTCAGCTCTGTCTCTTCTGAGCTCATTTTCCTTTCACACATTCATGTCTCTATGCATTCCTGTTTCATGCTCTTTTCTATCTGACGTCTAATTTATGCTCTGCTCTTTCCCTCTCTCTCTCTCTCTCTCTCTCTCTCTCTCTCTCTCTCTCTCTTCCTTTTTTTTCCAGGACTGCTTTGCTAAAACAATTTAATCAAGACATAAGGACAGTAAATCATGTGCTGTCACTCGCATGCTAATGCACACACACAACACACACACACACACACACACACACACGCTGCCTGTCCTTTTATAATAATTGCAAGGCATTTCGCAGAAATTATTTGACGTGGATGAAAAAAAAAAAAAAAAAGGATGCAGCTAAATTGTTGAAAAAAAAAATCTATATACTGAGAATTACTGCTGGCAATTACACTACCTGCAAAATGACCCACAATTATCTGCAATCATCAAAACTATAACGGAGGCAAAACAAAGAGAGCAAAACACACCAAATGCCACATGACACACACACACACACACACACATACACACACACACACAAAGTTACATACACACACAGCTGCTAATGAGCAGCAGTGTCGGTCAATACAGCAAGCAGCAGGCACATGACATTTAACACAATGAAATATTGATGCACACGCACACATGGGATTGCAAACACGCTGAAAAGGAAGTAACAGATTAACATTCACACACACACACACACACACACACACACACACACACACACACACACACACACACACACACACACACACACACACACACACACGTCTGCAGAAAGTGTAGACAAAGTGCCACTTACAGGTTCTTGATCTCCACAGCTCCTCTGAAGGCTTTCCGTGGAACCCCCTGGATCTGGTTCTCGCTGAGATCCCTGAATACGACAAAGAGAGAGAGAGAGAGAGAGAGAGAGAGAGAGAGAGAGAGAGAGAGAGAGAGAGAGATGAAGTCAAGAAGTGAGAATGAAGAAATGAGGTTGCAGAGAGTTAAACCGAGCTGTCACCAGAGCCACTTGCGTTGCAGCACTTGATGTAATCACCTGAATCCAGCAGGGGGGAACTTCAGAGTCACAGACAGATCTTCTGCAAAACTGAGTTTCTTGCGCACACTGAGCATTCCTTCACCAAACACACTCAGCTGTCTCTATTCATCACTCACCCGCACAACAAAACACACCCGTCAACGAGCCTAAGAAATCAGCTGCGATTCAATCGTCATGCTTTGAACATCCATCCATCCCTCTCAGGTGGAAGAGGCTCTAAGTGCTTAAAGAGCCTGTAGGGGGCACTAGTGACCTCCGTTTCCCTCCCTCCTCTCATCTCTCTCCTCATCTCTCCCTCGCCGCCTCCACCCTCCTTCCTCTGCTTTTAAGGAGTGAGGAGCGATGGATGTGTTTGTGTGTGTGTGTGTTGTTTTGAGAGTGAGCGCTGGGGGTTTGCAGAGATTTAATTTTCAGCCACTTTAACTAAGCCGCTGCTAAATTTGGAGCACAAAAAAAGAAAGAAAGAAAGAAAAACACTTAATTTACCGCAGGTAGAGATACACATGGTGCAGACAGATTTGATGTGTTTATGTTCCTCCTCGTTCAAACAAGCACTAAACGTATATACACACACACACACACACACACACACACACACACTCGAACACAACAACAAGTGAGCCATATGAACTTCTCCTGGTTGGTATAGCAACTTGCTTTAGTCGAGGATTCACACAGTTTTGGTTCGCTGAAGGATGAACGCAGAATAGTAACAAAGGAATGAGGTGTTAAGTGTACTCAAATGCAAATATGAATCAAGTTATGTAAAGTTGAAAGATATTTTTTGTTCTGTTCTGACTGATGAAGGTGAAGTGAAAACAGCAAACTGCATTATCTGCATGATTTAAAAGAGGACATGTAGACGTCATCGTGTTTTGACGCATGGATAAAAACTGGGTGTGCTGCGTGTGTGAAAAAAGCAAACGGCAGAATTCTTCACCCCTCCTGACAATCCCCCCCCCCACCCCCACCCCTCCTCCCGCTGTGAGGGACCAAAAATGACGAGGGACTCAGGAAGATTTCAGGGGCAAGCTGTCTTAAAGTTGTCTAGAAATATTCACAAGTGCATGTGTGAAACAGCTTCAGACTGCTCAACAGTGTGTGTGTGTGTGTGTGTGTGTGTGTGTGTGTGTGTGTGTGTGTGTTGTCTCGTCTGCCACCCGACAGGCCCCCCAAAGTCCCAGACAGACTATTTGACCTTTCACCGTTGACCCTCCAGCTCTTGACCCCGACCGTGGTGCCTTGACCCCATCATGCTAATCGGCTAACAGCTAATGCAGAGCCCACATTCCTCGCATACTCGCCGTTAGCGGTCGTATAGTCGCTGCCGCAGGTATCACTAACCCTCCTCTTGTTTCCACCTCCTGCTTAAACAGTACACCTGTATCTGAGCCAAGGGATCAGTTAACACCGAGAATACAGAAAAAAGATCAACTCGATGTTTAAAAGGTTGAGCATCGTGAGTGTTGGGAGACGGGCTTGTGCATGTTGTTGAGACAGCATGGACAAAACAAATACAGTCAACATGGAGGCAAATGTACAAAGACAAGAAGTGGTACTGGATCTACTCGTGAAAGCTGTAGGATGATGCTTGAAATGTCCACTTTTCTGATACTTTTCGAGACAATAACAAAGACAACAACGAGATTGTCAGTCTTGTTTTTTTTTAACCAGAAGCTTCCATGAGCAAAGAGAATAAAGTGCGTAAAGTTGACAACAATTTGTGCAGTTCTGACAGCGAACAGGAGTTTGGCTACATGTTTTCTCTAGTCCTTAATCAGTGTCACAGTCTAATAACTAAAAAGTGGAAATTGATGATTTCTGCTAAATCTTCTGCCGCAGCCTCTCCAATTAGAGACTTTTCATTTCACTGCTTTTCACTGGATTTTCATTTTTGGGGGTTTGGATTTTGCACAGTTGATTTGGAGAAAAAAAGCAACCTTAACACATCCGCTTCGGCTCTCTTCACTTTGGGGAAACCTTTTTTTAGCCGCAGCCGCAGTACGATGTGTTTTAATGGATACATGATGGAGAAATGTTTCATTTCCAAACGACAGACAAACATGACCTCCGCTCACAAAAATAAATAATTAAGAAGTTGTGCAAACATAACTGAACTCTAGATGGACACACACGTGCACATGTTGTTTCACCTGTTTCACACACACACACACACACACACACACACACACACACACACACACACACACACACACACACACACACACACACACACACACACTAACAGAAAAATGGTGTCATGTTTCAGAGTCCTCTGATTCTGAGATCAATCCACATGATCCTAGAATAAGATTTAAAAACAGACAAATATGGAGCTGCACTTGTGCTTTGTTAGACACAACACCAACACACGTGTGCTTTCACTCACTCATGCATATACACACACACACACACACACACACACACACACACGTACAAACACAGCGGCTGGCCTGAATCAAATAGAGTGTATCCTGATACTGTTTTTACAGGACGTAGGGGGGTTTGGAAAACAGCCGTGCTCCTTTAACCGCTGGAACTCTAAAACCAAATAAATACTCTGAAAGTGCTCCTCAAGCCTACAGTATACACACACACACACACACACACACACACACACACACACACACACACACATGCACGCACAGCAGAGCATGTAACCCAAAGTTTGCATTAACCTCAATCTGCCTATCAGATGAAGAAATCAGTAAAAAAGTTGTTAACGTGTAAAATGTGACAAGTTGACAGTTTGACAGTGTGTGTGTGTGTGTGTGTGTGTGTGTTTGAGGCCGCACACAGACCTCACTGTAGAGTGTGTTTACATACACACACTTAACAGGTTCACCGGGAATGCACAGCTCACATTTAAATGTATAGTAATGCAGCTGCAGCACACACACTGTAAGAGGCGGAGCGTAGAGATTTTTGTGTGTGTGCGTTCGACAAAGACATTTATCTTCTGATGCGCTGAGATGATTGGAAATTGATTTTCTCGTCCCCCCCGTGATCTACGACAATATAGAGACTGCGCACACACACACACACACACACACACACACACACGTTCCCAGGCAGAGTCCATGCATACTCCAGTGATTGGCAGTTCGGGTTGGTGTGGGGGGCTTTTTAAGGAAGTGCAGGAGGCCACTCTAAAACCCTCTTCATCACTCAGACCACCAGAGAGAAAGAAACACAGAGAGAGGGTGAATAGTACGTTTTACCGCGACTAGGAAATTGACTTCTCGGGACTTAGGAGTGGATTTTCTTTCTTCAGTTTGGAGCCAAAGCACCTGATTCAATTTCATCTGTAGTGGGATCGTTTGGTAGAAGTCCCACTCACCACTTCCCCTCCTCTCTCTCCTCTCTCTCCTCTCTCCTCTCTGGCTTTCTCTGTGTTGCGCTCTTCTTTTCTCTTCCTTTTTCCCTGAGATGGCTCTTGTTTTCGGACTTCCCCCAGGTTTAACCCCCTCACCTCTGCCCTTGTGCCTAAAACCGGGAGGTTAGCTTCATTAAAACAGGCTCCTGCTGAGCCAGTGTGTGTGTGTGAGTGTGTGTGTGCGCGCGTGTGTTTTTCTTTGAAGGCGCCGGAGGTATTAAATCCACACAGGAACTTTTTCATGCTGTTAAGTAAGGAAGCCTCTGAAACACACATGCACACACACACAGCAGACACACTTTGAGGGTTATCATATCAGATATTTAAAAAAATCTTCTATATGAGTCTGGTAACAGTAATGCCACCACGGCAACAGAAATACTTGTCCTAGGCAACCAAAGCTGGATATTTTCTTGTCTTTATTAGCCAGAAAGTTCAGGCAGATTTAGACTGGGTGTTGATTTTGTAACCACAGCATCCCTGCGGCGGGGTTTCCGGTGCAGCTCAGGGGTGTGCCCGATACAGACGGAACAAACCGATAATCTGAATCCTCAGGAATCCATTTTGATAAAGTTAAAACCAGCAGGTGAATCTGTGTGAGACTGGGAAGGTAAGACTCTGTAGTCGGGGACATCAGGGGCAGGGCACTATGACACTTGAAGCCGTGTAAAGCACATGTCTGATCAGTGATTACTCACTGCAAACAAAGTAAATAAAGAAGAAGAAAGAAGAAAAAAAATCTGGATATTTTCATTTATTTAGATTTTTAACGTCTTCTTTTAAAGCTCCTCTGAGGAGTTCTTGAGCGGTTATGAAACAGACAGTAATTAATGTCACTGCTTCTTTGTTTCTAAGCTACAAAATCATCATTAAGATGGAATATTTCCTACATAGCCGATGCTGCTGCAGGGTAGGCGTCAGACAACAGCATGCTGAAGAAACATTTCACACAGCAAATAATGAAACATTTCACTGGATAAGACTGCAGGAAGAGAGTTACACAAAACGCACACGTACGGGACAAAACCAGCAAAGAGATAAGAGGCAGCGCTTTGTCCTCTGGGGGCGCCAAAATCGACACAAACTGAAAGTTCCCTACAGGAGCTTTAAGGTTCCCCAAGTTCTGTTTCTAACTCTGTTTGCACTTTGAATTGATTTATGGAATAACATGATTTTAAATCGAAAATGTTGACGACCTGATGGCTAACCTGATTCAAAACAGACAAACCCGGTTCAAACAAACTGCTGATTTACACTTCATGACCTCCACTAAAGACTCTAAATGTTGTGTCCTTTCTCAGCTAAACGTTCCTTCTTTTCATCCTCACACTCTCTCTGTGAATGATTCTGCTTTTAAGCCTTAAACTTGATCCGAAAAAAGAATCGCAGTCATCATGTTGTAATGTTGTCATGGAAAAAAAACAGATAAACATAAAAAAAATAATGATGAAAGCGTGCAAACAGGTGGCATTTATGATCAAATAACTTTTTTTTAATGATTCATCTGTCTGATAACACAGAGAGAGAGAGAGAGATTCATTTTTTTACTCAGAAAATGACTCAAAAACTCGTTAAATCTGATCACACAGAGCAGGACGCGTTAAAGATTTAACAAGCGGAGAATCAGCAGGGGGATGAGATTGTCTGGAGCAGACGTCAGCTGTGATGTACATATTTATCGTTTGCTCACCAAAAGTG